CAAATGCAAGATCGTCATTAAATTTCACTATTATCGTCATAATTCCACCCTACATCTATTCTTTGACAAATGGTATATTAATGGTTCTCTCTCTACTGTGGTCAATAGCAAGATAACATGGCTAATCTAATCACTATTCTATCCCCCTCCCCTGTCCCCTCTCTGGGGGGGGGGGGGGTAGCCACGGCAGTGGTTAGAATTGCCTACGTCCAGAGACGCCGGTGGCCTACTCCATCCCTTCTCCCTCTCCCCCTCTCTAAGCCCGGCCTGAGTCCGGGGCAGCAGCTTGCCTCGGTCTTAGTCCCTGTACCTCGTAACTTAGGCCCTCAACCTCTCCCTTCCAGTAACCCTACCTGAGTTATATAAATATTTCCCTTAGTTAATTTGTCAATAGTGTATTTTTCCTTACATGTATTGTATAATTTTCTCAACTAATGTTTTTGCTGTAAACTTGACTGTGTTTTTCTTTGTTTACCCTTTTTATATTTGTAGATTTGTACTTGTCAATTGTAATAATTTCAACTGTTTGCAGTTGTCATCGGTAATATTATATCTCTTTATATATTTTCCTGTTTTTGGTTTTTTTTATTCACTTATGTTAAAACAAATCTTTTATCTGTAAATAACCAAATTTGCTTTTAAGTTATTGTATTTTTTTTTCGTTTCAATGGAACGAAGCAAAATTTCCATTTCAGACATTTCTCCAAAGATGATAAATACATTTTTATGACTCCTTTCCACATTGCTGTGTCTGTATAGCAGATTCCATCATATTTCACAGGCGTGAAGCTATCATTTTCCTCTTGTAGTCGGTTAGAACCAAATACAAATAAAGCAAACTAAAACAGACGCATGAGCCAAAAACACCTCCTGGACAAACCTAAAATAATAAAACAGGACCGAAGGGGTTTTAATTGGCCCTGGAAAATGGATGTAGGTTATGTCGGATAAAAAATTGGTGGTTCAACTCAGTTTGGCAGCACCCGAATGTTGCACCACTCTCAAAAATGGTAAAGTTGATTTAAACATGTCTAGTTAGGCCTGCCTTACATTAAAGCTCTCTGCCTCGCCAAAATTCATTCGTGACTGATGGCTTAAGTGGGTAGCTCCAGTGTGCAGTCATTTTTCCCCGGAGATTTTGGTTTTATTCACAATGCGTGATCATGCATTGTGTTCTGAACGTCTTTTGACGAAGTGAAGTGCGGCGTTGCATGACTTTATAAAGCATTATGAATTTTTAAAGGAACAATAAATACATTTCAAAATTGTGTGTGCTGAACGTCTTATAAACTTCATACCGTCTATTGAAAATGAGCCTCGAAAGGTTACAGAGGGATAGCTATCCCATCGAGGCATTACGTTAAACACTGTGCTATGTCGTCAGCGCAGTGGGCTATTTTTGGTGGGTTCTAGAGAGTATAAAACACTACATTGGTAAGAGTGATACATTTGTGCTCGTTGCAGGTTTGATGTTTGACAAAACTGAAAGCTACAGCCTGGCTTTCGTCATCTTGGGATGAGTATCCATTCTGCTGCTGTTGTCTCTGTTTGTGGAAGCACTGTTAAATCCACAGCAGGCAAGATCGCTTTAAAATGTCCATCAGGTCCCCGACATTGCTGTTTACTTCCAATACAACATGCTTCCCGTTACTGTGTATAATAGTTATTTAGCATACAATGCAGAAGGAAGGGGTGCAGCATAAATCCTTTCCGACGATATTTAGCGATTGAATGATGCCTTTACATAATTAGTACCGGCATTAAGTCTGGGACCACATTGTCCGAGCAATTTCCTGTTTCTTGCTTCAGATCAAGTTCCTGGTTTACGTGTAGTTTGAGCACGATTTCAATTACTGAAAACCTGTTCTGTTCACTAGAAGAACTTTTTTCATGCAAATTTAGAACGATTTATCGACATATCAAGCATTTCATGCCTGTATGATGACATTATACTAATCTGGCATTTATCATATTTGTGGATTGGCACGTTTTAGCAATTATAGGTCGAACAAGGAAAACAGGAAGCAAAATTGACTAGGACTAAAAACTATATATTTACCGCTGCATTTAAGCTTTTTTTTAAAGTCATTACATTCTCGTTTTCGAGTTTGTCAAAGATTTAGTTATTTACTTCCAGATTTCAATGTTTCTTAGTTATACAGGGTGTCCCAGAAAAAAAAAACTGGCGGAAAGGGATTAATATGCCCAAACCATGATATATGATTATAATAAAAGCGTAGAGGGTGGAGCGAGAGCCGGGTTAGGAACAGCGGGAGAGAAAGGGCTTCTGACGGTAGTGCTGTTACAGCGGGCTGGTTGGTGACAAGTTGAAGGAATAAGGTCCTGAAGTCGTTTGGTACTCTGGATTTATTCTTTGGCTAACTTGGTTCCGAATTAGTGGATTTTATGGCACGTTCTCGCAGTGGCGGAAAGTTTCGGGAACCACATCAAAGAAGAAAAGAAAAATGTACTCATTAAATAAGTATTCAATACATGTGACGATGCAAATGTCTGTCTCTCAATTCTATTACAAACTGAGAGAGCATCCTAAAATTATACTGTAGCTTGATCTCTGAAAAGGCCATTTATGAAGGTTTATCCAACAGAACTGAATAACCCGTTTATTAACTGTGCACAGGGAATATCATATCATTTTCTCTGATATATGTAACTGGCACACATTGCAGCTTTACCATGGGAAATATGCTGAAACTAATTGCAGTAAAGTCTCCATACAATTTCAGCTACAAATATATAAATAAAAAAGTCCACCTAAACATCTCCGTAGTTCCAAACATTACCTAACTCTTGTTGGATAAAAAAACACTTAACCCTCAAACTGTGCAGGCAGAAATGAGAGCAAAATGTACCGACACAGCAGGGCGCTCTTCAAGATCGATCTGCTCTATTACGGTGCCGATCTCACAATACGTTTTCTTCAAAAGAAAATAAAACTTTGATTTCTGATAAAATACCTACAACGCACTTGCACTAAAGCTTACTGTGCTTCCAAATATTTATCAATCATACTGAACCTATTACTATCACTATTAAGGAATGTCGGTACTTCTTTTTTATGTTCTAGCTCTCAACTCAAACAAAATCGAACAATTAATGTATAAGGTTACTTAAATGTCGGTAAACTATTTAAAATTGCGTACCTGAGTAGGTGGCTTGTAAGGCACATTCACACGGTGGCGGAACGTTTCGGGAACAACTCGTCGTCGTGGGCACCTAGGCAAAAGACTAGTGTTTGACAATAACAGGTGCTGATTTTGTATTCATAAATCTCACAAAGGCTGTTGACAATTGTAACTCGCTCAAGCATTCCATATTTAGGTGCTTGGGCTATCCAGATATATGTTTATTCTGGTGGGTTTCAACCAAGACTTCAGTATATGACTTAAGGTCTTAATTTCCAGTTTGTCATGGCGTCGTGGCTTACTCCAACCCTTTTGGACATCATCGTTTGGGCGCTTGCTCAGTTGCGCTTTCCATGATTCGCGTGTCACACTCTTAGCTCTGCGAAACTCTTCAATCTGTCCCACCTCTAAACTAGGACGGAGGCCAGACAAGTCCCCAAGTCGGCTGATAATTCTGCCAGTGTCGCTCACTGGATCTGAATCCAGCTTCAATATCTTTGCGAATCGTTAATTGACACCTGTTGCTTGGAGTTTGGTACGAAGATCAGCCTCAGCAAGATGATACCGGTAGTGCATAACATAAAATATTTTGTCATAAACAACTGTAATATTGCGAAAGTTTTTAAACTAGAGTAAATTAATGCATGAAAGTTGAAACAAAGAAGCAAAACTGAGAAACTAGAACAGCACGATCTGACAGCACGTATATCCGACTGGCAGAGTGCACTTCTGTCAAAAACGGCAGTAATGAAGTTTGAACTCAGAGGGTTTGCTTTAGCATTGCAGACTGAACAACCACAAAATAATAACCATGTATTGTGTCCTCAAAGTCCGGTTTCAACACACGACTACGTTTGCCCGAATCTGTAGCCTAAAACGCTATAAGTTTTACGTAGCATTTCGAATCTGTGTTTGTCCCTTCATAAGTAACGCAACTGACCTTTGCGACGAATCTACTCTATGGTACCTGGCTCCCAAACTTTTGATTGAAAACACGTTAAGATTTTTTACTTATAGACTTTTTATTTCAGACTCGGCCTTTCATGAGACCCATGATCATCTTTTCTGGGTCGCGTTTTGAGGAAGTATAAATGTGTCCATTTAAATCCACTCCGTTACATTTGCGGCATATCTATTAATCTAACGGTCCTGTTATTTTAAGAACAAAATAAGACTGTGTAAACCATTCTACTTATTGGACACAATTCGCTGTACCTTTCTATCAGGAACGCAATAATTTATGATGGCATATCTGTCAACTTTTTCCAACACCCAAATATTTACACACCAAGGTCATATTTCCATTGAACGCTGACCGTCAGCATTTTTACCTCGGAGACTGGTTTGCATCATAGGCACGTCTAATTAAAATTTACATGGGAGCAGTTTCGGCATTGTGTACTATGCATTGGTGAATGTTCATGTCCGTGTACATTAATTGTAATGGTACATGCACGTGTATGTCTGTACATTCACAATCTCTATGTAGAAGCAGGTGTACTGTGAGCCACCTTGGTGCGTATATTCCAGATGTAGGAACGACGTCACTGTGCACACACGTATCATCAGTGGTAACTTGAGAGACTATTGCCATGACTATGCCTAAGTCCACGGATAACAAACATGTGCACATGTATATGTACATGTAAACATGTTCACTGTGAACTTGATATTACTGTCAAATAATATGCACCTCCGGCATACACAATCGATGTATTAATTATATTACATGTACTTCCCACATATAACATTTGCTCCATGAAGAGGGCGTTTTAAAGCATTAGGCCTATGGAAAACTGGGGCAAACATGTTTTCTTAACTACTGTCGGGTTGAAAGGAATTGCTTTCATGCATGGCCACAATGGAGGTCTACCATCCTAAACCACTGCCATAGGTCGTTCGTTTATTCTCCTCGTGTTCGGTCAAGTATGGACATAGCAAGATGTGTGGCGAGTCAGCCATTTTGCATCAGGGTTCACTGCCTTTTCTCTAATCGTAGAACCGGTGTTTTAACATTTGGTCCGGTTGAACCGTATTTCGAATGATACCACCAGACGGAAAGACATCAGCAAGCTGATTTGTGTTATGGAAATCATGTATACAGAATAACACAGGAGAGGTAAAGGGCCTGATCAGCCATTTTTTCGGGCTAGTTCATACGCATAAGCTTCACATATGAACACAACAATGCCTCCAATGATGTACTTCCGTGGTTTTACGCTGCGCACATTGTAACCGTTGGCCCCTGTATTCCAAGAGTCACAGGTGTCTGGTCGTAAAGTCGCCACATGTAAGGTAAGAGCCAAAGTATGCTGTCCACAGATACTTTTCTCAGACTCAAAATGCCACAGGTTGCTTCGTAAATGGTTGGGTACCTGTTGGTTAAAGGCTCCATGCAGTGATTTGTCTGATAGATAAAGACGTGCAAACTCCTGCTTAAGTTACTTGAATGGAATCTATTAGCCATGTATCTCTGATTAATTGTCGAAAAGTGCGCATCTTTTACTGAACGATGACAATGGTGTTGTGTTGAAGCCATCAAGGAACGATACTTTGCACATTAGGACTTTGCTCACACTTGTTTGGTCACTGAAAATACTTTTCACATGCCATAAAAAAATTAAACGTACATGTTTTTGCCTGGCTTGTTTGTCATAGCACCGACACAGCATGCAAGGCATGGATTTATGCAGGTGCAAGAGCCATCTACAAAACAAAAGTAACTGCAGCACATTTAAAGTGCCAAGGACATGAAGCTCACTTTAAGGAAATGCTTTATTGTGCAATCCCAATCTACTATCAAATGTAACAAAAGGGCTTTAACAGATCTTTGTTCACCGTAAACACAACTAAACCAAGCACCAACATGAAATCACTACTCTGAGCAGGCTGGATGTGATTTCACTCAAAAAGATGATTTTGGCAGGGCGAATATAACATTAAATGTGAATTGTGAATATGATAGGTGAGTCGGAAATCACAACCACGATGATGTAATTGTGGTGACGTGGCTAGAGAGTGGATATGACAGCTGTCTTTGTTTACATGTGTACTTTCATGTGAAGCTGCTTGGGGAAAGGACCACTGAGCACTCCAGGAAAACAAGCATCGACTGCAAATATTGGTTTATAAGCATGTAAAAGTGACAAAGGTTTGACCCTTCATATAACCTTAAAAAACAAAGGACTGACAACTTAAGAAACTCAGAACAGCGTTTGTCAACTGAAAATTTGTCACTTTCCAAAATATGAACTCAACACCTTTATCACCTCTCGAGATACGCTTGAAATGATCGAGGGCCTTCTTGACTACAATTCTTGTAACTTACACTTAATGACGTCATTATGTTGTCACATTTACACCTCTAGGGACCAGGGTTGATATTTGCTTTTAGGTTTGAAGTTTATACAGAAAACAATGCTAGAAAAACTCCGCCGAGATCACTATCTCGAACATGGTGCAACTGGATTCTACCTGACAGGTAATATTGCTGCGCTTACAGATTTCAATGGACTTCTTGGGTACTTTACGTTCATGAACATTTTTATGCTTATTGCAAGTATTTCTTATCAGTTGCAGAAATAAACGAATTCCAACAAGGTAAATATTGAGATGGGCAACAGGTGCAGTGCACGATTTCTCCAAGGCTTCTATATTGTCCTCTGCATGCATATCAGCACGTTGCTTTGGGCGGGCCTCATCAAAGGTCTGGGGGTGCTGTTACCCACGCTGCGGGACCAATTTACAGTCTACACCTGGATGATTGGCAGTTTGATTGCGGCCGTGAGTGCGATGGCAGGTTTTGCAAGTAAGCTTTGGAAGTGAAACAATCCTTCAAAACTGTTTCATTGAACTGCTCTCCGAAGCAGAGCAGTTGCTCAAAAACTATAAGAGAGGCCGTTGTACAGTGAAACTTTGTCCATCGTAAATTTGTAAAATATATTTATTTGGAACCTTTGATTGTTGAAACTGTGCAAATGTCAGGGGTGAATCGCTCGATCTCAAAGTAAAATTTTTCGTGATTTGTACAGTCATTGTCTACTGGTCGATTTCACACGTTGTGCAGGTTTTGCAGAGACCTCATTTTGAAAAAAACCCATTGTAGGCTACTTAATTTTTCTGTTTGTGGGGATTATGAATATTGTCGTTATTTTGCAAATGCAGGTCCCCTCTCTGCGCTTCTGAACGGTATTTTTGGAACTGGCACTGTGGTCATAGTGAGCGGTTTCCTCTATGGAGCGTCTGTAATGCTGTCGTCCTTCTCAACCAGCATTCCTCATATTGCATTAACGTTATGCATATTGGCAGGTAGTCTATTGTTTATACACAAGGTGACCCACAAAAATCTAACTAAAAGTAACAATTATTTTCTCACAAACGGTTGTCAGATATTGCTGTATTTGATATGAACTTAAAGCTGAAAATATTATCTTTCCAAAACTGAAGAAGTCACTTTAATCTGGTGATGCGTTGTGGTATTACCGGTAAAAGATGGCAATTCCCACAGAATGATCAGATTCAAATGTACACGAAGGTACTTGTACATAAATGTACTTTCGCCGCGCTTTGAGTATGCTGAAAAGTATGATACCACAAGACACAGGTTTATACACAGTGCTGGCCTACACCATGCAGGCATCATTTGGCGATTAATTTGTTTTCACAAGACAAGGCCAAGGCTAAACAGCTTCAACTGTGTAGTCTACACACTACTGAAGTGAGTAGTCATGCACCAAAATCTGTATGTAACAGGCATTAGAGCGAGAAGCAGATTGATTTAGATACATTCCTTGTTTTCAAGACTGCGTTCTTAAAGCAAAGGTATTTGGTATTCTTGGTTTAACCTTGTTAGTCACATATGCAAATTTGTCACAGTGCCGATTTCAGTACCCTTAACACCAGTCTAGTTTGTTCACTCACCTGTGTCAATAACATCCCAAGCTGAATACCATTGCAAAGAGGTCATTCTGCCCTTTCTAGAGATATATTTCTCTTTCCCATATATAAAGTAATTTTGCTATTACAGCAATTTTTATTTCGGCATACTTTTTATGTGGACACCCTGTATTGAACAATATTTTTTCCAGAAAATGTAAACAGAGCATTTTAAACCAGCTCTTACCTAAATTAATTCTTTGGAAAGGAATGAGTCCTCGAGTGGCCAGCCAGGCCAGAACTACCGTAATTTGCAGGGACAGATGTTTAAACAAACTGGTGACTTCATAGCAAGAAGTCATCAGAAGAATCTTGGAACTTATACTCTCATCAATACCAGCAACCTATCCCCAAAGAATGTCAGATTTGTTTTTTTTAACATGGTAGAAATTGAAGATGATGGAAGCATGGATTCACATGGTTTTCTTTGAAGTTCAAAGTTTTGCGTTTGCAACACTTTTTTTGTCAAGAGAGAGTGGGATATTCTTTTGATACCTGCTCAGTGTGGGAGACTTGATGCTGTTACTTTTTGATTTTTCTTCTGGAATATATGGCGTCAGCAAATTTCCAGCAATCAAATTCTGACTTTTTTTGTATACATGCCATACTTGCGGTAATCGGTCATCAGATTAATGAATATACATGACGAGTATTTCCTCAACCGGAAATAATGAAAGATAGGTTACATTTATATTATACTGACCAAGCTCATATTAAAATTCTTGTTTTCTCTGAGCAGGGCCTAGTTTGTTCAGTATCACTATACTGACTAGAGCAATGGCTGGACGTCATTTCACTACAGGCTACGCCATCGCTACTGGTATTGGAACTTCGGGCCACGCTGTTGGATTGATGCTCCTTGCGCCCTTGATTCAATTACTTTTAGACACCTATGGCTGGCGAAGTGCCTTGCTACTGCTTGGGGCAATTAGCTTGCATCTTGGTGTATGCGGCTTCCTCCTAAGAATACCACAACATCCTGCAGAGGCACGGGAGGAGTACCTGCCCATTGGCTCCATTGAACAGGAAGCGTCGCATGTCAACAAGCCAAGAAGCTCCGATGCTAAGAAAAACTCGCCACTCCGCAGCTTGAAGAACGTCATTATAGATGTGAAGAATCTACTGGGATGTGCAGTTTGTCGCCGCGCCGAGTTTTGGATCGGGTTTCTTGTTTTTGGATGTGATTCATTTGCGATAGATATGTGGGTGTTGTACTTCGTCGCTTATGCCGAGTCAAAAGGTTTTTCTGGATACGAAGCCGTAATGTTCACTTTCGCCGGAGGAATGGGAAACATGGTCTTAAAGATCATCATTGGCCTGATTTTGGACTTTGGGTTATTGAAAGTGCGGCTGGGTCTCCTTGTGACGATCATTACAAGTTCCCTTTGTTTACTGACACTTCCCTGGATGAATACATACTGGATGATGATGATCAATGCCTTTCTCTATAACGGCCTCAACGGTATGATAAGACTCTTGAGTGACATTTATACCCGTGAACTCTTGGGAGCTGAAGATTTAGTTGCCGCTTTCAGCTGGATGGGAGTTTTCAAGGCAGCTGTCATTCTTGCGTTCGGATTTTATCCAGGTAAAAGCCTCAGATATCATTAGATCAGCGTATGAGGAAAGCTAACAAAACACTTTTCATTCGAAGGCACTGTCGTAATGAAGGCAGTCTCTCTAGCACACACTTTGACTTTTTCTGTGCGGGCGGAGATGAATATGAGATAAGAAATGGGTAAAACAATTGTGCCCAATTTTGATTTTAACGATGTGAATGGTTATCTTAGATTCTCAGTACCGTTTTATTCAAGGTTTAGCAATAATCTGCCGTGGTGCTGCCGTGGGGGTAAATGGTCCCTCACGTGTGCTAGACAGGCTAGCTCCCCTATGCACGGATCATTCGGAGGTTCTCCGTGCAACATGCGAAGTCAACCAATGTGTTCACTGAAATTATTATGGAGAAATCTTTGCTCGCTGTATGCACATTTCTACACATGACTAAAAGTATGGGGCCTAGAGGGACTGTCTTATTGTACAGGTTACCCAGCATTACCCTCTCTAAAAATCGTTAAAATTACGCAGTAGCAGGATTCCAGTCAATCGAGCAATTTTTGCAGCTTTTGGACATCGCTTTATACAAAATAAAAACTTTGTATAAAGCGATGTCCAAAAGCTGCAAAAATCGTGCAGATCTACAGCGACGCGCACTGACCAGAAATCAAAGATTTTTTTCTGGCCTTAAATGGTGTCTTTCTGATCTGAACTGGAGAATTCAAAATTCCCGAAAGCAAAACAAAAAACATTGCTTCCTAACGGAGGGGCATGTCAAGAAAAACAAGTTTCAATTTTGATTTCCGCACTATTTTGCTGTCAGACGTACTTGACCATCCTTATGTGCTTCCTTAAGCAAATAATAATTCCTGAATGATATGGATAATGCCAGGAGCAATGATACTGAAGATTGTATTTGCGTTTTAACAGAGAAATGCTAACACAATTTCCTCTCAATACGTACAAAACAAATGTCAACAGGAAAGACACAAAAGTAGATCAACTCATTTTTCGTTTTAATGACATCTTTGATACATTTTCAGTCACACTCGTAGACATGCATGTTTTTCTCCGTTGGAAAAAAAATGATAAGAGGGGATTTTGGTTTTCACAAATGGATCAGCCTCGTACGTTAATACTATTGACTAATTGGCCAAGGTATTTATTATAATCACTTGTTTTGCTTGAAAAATTTGCTTTTCGAAGATATGCCGTTTTCCTTTACTGCAGAAACTCCTGGAAAGTAATAGATTATGCACTTTTAAAACTGGAAAAACATATCCTGCGATTACCTCGAAAAACGTTTTTGTTCAAAGTCAGTGTAAACACGAGTCCCTTCCTAAGAACGATGACGAAATGTGACATATTTGAAATGGCTGTGAAACTCGTGTGTCTGCCTTTAGGGCATCACACCTGTTTTCGCGCCAATTTACCTCAACATTAAAAAGGAACCAAAGTACCTGAACTTTCCATCTCCCATAATATACGTTGTAGTCATTTGGAACACATTTTGAAAACTACACCTCTATAGGCCTACATTGACAATAATTGTATGTTTTAAGTTGCAGAAAGGCATGAACTCCCATAATTGGTATCATAAGGCATTATGAATGAGTTATGAGCACAACATAATTTCAAGAGTACAGTCATATGCTCGAAGTGATATACTGTATACATCAGAAGCGTTGTGACTATGCCTTCCTCAGCGCAAAGAATCGCGTTCAATGGCCATATCAAGAGCTGCAACTCCTGCGTGCGTCGTTCAGCAATAAAATCACCCGATCTGACTACCCAACGCTACTTATAAGTGAGGCTTGCGCAGCTAAACGGCCGTGCTCTAACTGTGGTGCTAATATATTATGGTATAATGCAACACTGAAGGCACATTTATAAGTGAGGATTGGTCGAACTTTCTGCCTCCCTTATTTTTATACGCTGACTAGCCTCACTTATAAGTTTGCCACTGCGTTGCATCATACGATAATATATTAGTGTGGCGTGACAGAGGGCACTGGTCACTAGGCGCGGTGCAAAGTTATAGATGGCGCTCTGCCCAGTAACAGAGGCAGATGTTACGCACGCGTAGCTGTGTGTTAAGCAAGCGCGGCGTATAGGCTCCGCCTTGTGCGTTATGTGATAGGGCGGTGGAAGTCACTGCTTGGTCACGTGAGCACGTGCGCGGGCGTGGTCAGAGCAGCGCGAAAGCTGTAAAAGGCGCGCGCAGGCTAGGTAAAGTCGTCCTGATCAAGGGCTGATCCTGAGGTAAGGGTCGAGAATCCTGTGCAAAGGTTAAAGTCACCTAGCCTAGTGTGACTGTGCCTAAGTCCTAGTGGTGCGTGCGTTGTTGAGGGGCTCGGTAGGTTGAGGGGCTAATTGGTGGTGCAGTATAGTTCCTGATAGGAGCTTGCGGTCGATGCACGGGCGGATTGCTATCTCTTGACGTGAGTTGCGTGTAGCCCAGCCCTGACAATAAGTCCCGTAGACTTGCTAAAGTCCCTGATTCGGCACTGGATGCCCACAATTAATTGTGGTGTTCGCTGCTCTGGGCAAAGTCTGGTCACGTATAATCACAGTCTCCCCGTCAATAGCACCCTCTACTGGTATATTGGTTTAGTGTGTTGACGAATAAACCAGCCGCTTATTAATTGTTGTATATAAGTCAGGTGTCTAGGATATGTCTGGTATATTTCAAGTCAAGTCTGTCTGGGTTACGTCATTAAGTTTCGACCAATCAGTTTAGGCATCATCTCGACGAAGACCAACTTTCTTGGGGGACGGTATACTTCGGTCCCAACGGACTCGTCCCTAGCCACTCAGGGACTTTCCGGCGTGCCGTCTGACGTGCCGCAACTCGAGGAATAGGGCGCGGCGTCACATTAGCATCACAGGTCTTGCAGGCTATTTTGCACAGGCCTCGCTTAAGTTGCGGTGGGTAATCTGATTGGGTGTAAAATCAGGGCTTCAACCGATTTGATAAGATACTAAGTTTATTCAGGTGTTTCACGGCTTTACTGCCAGAAACGGGTTTGCCTCTTCCTACTTACCTGTCAGTGCCGCAAGAAAATATCCAGGCATACACTCGAAAGGAGAGTGTTTTTTTCTGTTTGTTTGTTTATTTGTTTTGTCTGATTTCCGTTACTGTGTAGAAAATGGCTTGGTAGGTGATGAACCTCAAGTTTCAGTCGTTGACAACATGAAATGTTCAAATCAAAACCCATTGATATGCCCGATACCAGTTTGATGTGCTGAACTGTAAAATGCCTTAAATGTTTATATTATTTACTTATTCTTGCTTATTGCAGGCTTGATGTTTGACAAACTCGGAAGCTACGACCTGGCGTTTATCATCTTGGGGTGTGTAGCATGTCTGCCGTTGGTGTCGCTGTTTGCGGAAGTCCTGTTAAATCGACGGAAGGCACGATCCCTTTAAATGTCAAGTGCGTGTGCTTGATACAACTTCGTCTATAAGACATGCCGCCAGTTATTCAAAATAAGAGTAAGAAGGAAGTGGGGAAGCAACATGTATCGTTCTTTTCCTCGATGCCAGTGAATGTTGCTGCAGAATGTGTACGAACTTTCTCAGGTTTGTTTATACATAATAATGAAGATTGTGTTAATTAAGATAGTGTGGACACGCCCTGTGACGTACGCAGGATGGACAGAACGAGGTGCTCGGTACACGTAGCAACCTGGATGGTTTGTGTATGATCAATACCAGCACGTAAGTGGGCGGAGCTTGCTCTTGGCTCTGCAAGTGTCTGCGAACCTGTAATGGCATGAGTAGGCCTACTCTTGCGGTGGCGTGAGTTGCTAGAGGACACAGTGTATGCTAATATAGGCCTATGTTAGGCGCAGGCGGAGTGTCTTCATGTAGCAGTACACTTCTGGGTGCATTGCAGTAGGTTATTACCGGACTCGAATCGAGTCCATTCAAAACTGTATTTAAAATTCAGAAATCTCAGTGGAAAAACTGTCCCACATCTGTTGTCCATAATTCTTGGATTACGAACCATCATTTTAGGGTCTAGGGTAACGGCAGGCATGTGTAAAAAGCGCACCGCGCAACCGATGCGACAGAGTTGCCTTTGTACTGCAACGTAAAAACGTTTTTCGTGAAGGATTGTTTTGCTTGCAGTTACTTTTCTTTTTGTGACTTGTGCCAATCATCATTGCACAACGGATTGAGAGTTACAGTGACACCATAAAACTCCTTCATACATATTAGTCGATACTTCGTTATTGATCATTTTTTAAATCTGTTAATATTGTATGTTCGGACTAAATTCGGTTCGCAAAAAGTTTGTTCATCATTTTGGAATCATTGGGGAAAAAATGGACATGCTAGAATTGGCATAAAGTTTTTGTGCACCCGACTAAATGAAATCGCGCAAAGAAACAGGCAAAGTTGACTGGTGTCCTGTCCGCCATTTTATACACGTTCATAGCTACATGTAGTGTACATGTACGTGCTGTGCACATGAACGCATCACGTTTAGTCATTTGCCTCACGCGTCTTGCCCTCACTGTCAGTTCATGAAAATAATTTCCTGTCACAGATAATCCATTTTGACTTGACAAGCCATCAAGAAGCGGTAGCCGGCCTTCAAAAGGCAAAATGCAAATTCCGTGGTACGGTGTGCATAGAGAAGTTGGGACCAGCTTTGTGCGACACCTTAGGGGGAAGTATCCTTCAAAATAAGCACTGTACAGTCTAGAGATAGGGCGCCGGTCAACTCGGTCCGAATCAGTTCTGAAATATTGGAAACAAAAATTTAAATTTTCTGTATTTTCCAATAATAGCCAATAACCAGGCCTTCGAGACCAAACTGACAAAAGCAGCATCACTCAAATACATTTAAATGATGCATTATTGTATGGTCTGCCAAAGTTGCAGACGATGATGGACTTGCAACAATGCCAACTGGGTAAGGTTTGGGGTTTGTAGTACACAATTTACTTTAACGACGAAACGCAGACTACTTCTTATGTCTTGGGTTAAATTAAAAAATAATTGTAGTACAATGTATGTTGTTAACCTGTTACTTTTTAGTGGAAAATATATACCATATTATGCACTAAACTAAAGGAGAACCGGTATAAATCGAACTAGAATATATTATAAAATTGCAAGTGCTAGTGTTTGAAATATGCATTATTGCACCAAGTAATTGCATGCTAAGAATTGTTTATGAAATAATTTATGAAGTCATATCTTAAAAGAAGAAAAATTTCTTTCCAAGTACACAAATGTTTAGATCAAATTAATATTCTTGGCTTTTATGTCTCGAATCCTTTTAATCTGTAATTGACGGTCTTTAGATTCATTTAATCGTTTTATCCGATGTAATTTCGTTATATTCATTTACGTTTGGTTTACATCTGCTGTATCGTTTGTAGGTAATGACATTAAAACACTTAGGGGAACTTTTCAAACATCAGCGTCATTTATTAATAACGAATAAGGTCAAGGGTTTGTTACAAATAACCGCAGGCCCAATCTTGAAGATGTCTATTTACTTCTGCAATGGCAAATGTATGGTGATTAGGGAGATCACTTCTGCCTTTCGTTGGTTGTTGAGGCTTATTATTATTATCACAATACGGAAAGTTTCGTGTGTGTGTGCCGTACGTATATCGTAAACCTTGAGACTAAACGCCAAACCTTAATTAAAGGACATGATTAACATGGAGCAGACTGAGCAACATATACCCACGAACTCAGAACGTTAAAACGTTCCTGCTGGACGTGATTGGATGTGTTGTCCAGTTATTTGTGTCTATCGATGAATCATAGGGCCGTGACGTCATGGAAACGCCCTCCGTCGAGCATACAACAAACGCGTTGTAATGATGACCAGTTCAGACAATGCGTCATAAGGATGTGCCATTTTTCCGTCGTCGGTAGCTAGGTTTCCATACACGTTTATATCNTCAGGTTATAGTTATAATGCTGAGTGGACAGATTTAAGTTTGTGGCTTAGACAGTGGAAGTTGTTGCACTTTTCGAAGTTAATTCCTTTCTTGACTGCGAGTTAAAGCATACACATGCCTTGTATTTTTAGACTGGAATGTAACTCTACTAAATTCTACATTGGTGAACTGCACGACTTCATTTTCTGTTCTTTGATGATTTAGAATATTTTGCGGGTTATAATAACTTTCTTCGTAATTTACATTGTTTAATTGGAATTCTCCAAGGCATTGTATTTACATGGAAATTACTTATTGTATCTTTCCAGGGGTTTTTCTTGTGGCGACACCATAATAAAGAACTTGAGTGAGATAATGCACACTATCTGTGTCGATCTCATCTTCTCACTGTTACAGTAAGATCAAATTTTACATGAGCCACTTACACTATGAATTTGAACACCATGAATTCATTGTGAATTTGCAGTTTCACCGTGAAAATTTTTTTCACGGCGATTTCACAGTCGTTTACCTAGTGAAAATACCGTGAAAATGGTGCTGGTCGTGACCTCCTGAGGACACCTTGAGGTGAGACAAAAAGCCGTGAAAATGCCGTGAGCCCTCTGAAGGAGTCCTCCCCTGCGGTTTGGTTAATCTAATAAACACTTTACGACCAATTAGCTTATGCCATTAACCAGGCCTCATAATAGGGCCAGTGAAACCACAAACCGCCCACTGTTTATAAAGTTACCAGGCACTTAACTGTGTGTGCTGCCCATGCCCACCACCCATACTTGCTCAAGGCCACGATCAAATAGGTTGGTGTACACGTACATGTACATGTACTTGTGCAATGTACATGTACATGCAACTTGTGGCCGGGAAATGGTCACAGTGCAGATACAGTAGATTACTGTTACAGAGCTCCCTGATACAACGCTCTATACTTACTATACCGATCTAACGCTCTATTTTCATTTCCCCAACTGCACGCCCATTCACTGTTTATTTTTTTATGTGGTTGCTTGTAGTGCTCCCGTTTACAAAGCTTTTTGGGATATAACGCTCAGGATTTCCGGTTACAGCGATCTTTACCTTGGAAAATCAGATTCTTTGAAAATCAATCCATCTTCACAAGGCCGCCGCGATTGGCTGGCCAGGCCTGGACACCATCCACTTAAGCGTAGTGCAGACATGTGGCTGGCCGTCCATGCAGCGCCATCGCCAGTACGACCTGCTCACCACGCAGAGCCGCGGCTGCGTGGCTATGATGTGGCGAAATTGTAGTGATTTCTTTTCGCACTTTTTATATATTCTGGTGATGTAGTTTGTGACATTGAGATACTTCTACATGTAGTATTTCCGACCTAAATGTTTCTTTCCACCAGTAAATAAAATGTTCGTGTTTGGCATGACAAGTCGTATCAGTTTTCATAGCCGTTTTCTAATTTTTCTAACTTCGGCTCCGTCTGATGCTTCAAGTTATTTTTTTACCATCTGACTTTGAAGCTGTAAGAGCACTGATTAGTCTAATAGAGCCACAAAACATAAAATAAGATTCAAGAGAACCAAAAATTACAGTAATCCAATTTAATGTAAACGCTTCAGGCCCATAATTGGGGATTGGTTTTGGGGACGAAGACGGAGACGAAGTTGAGAACATGTATAGACCGTATTTGCGGCATCCCCAATTTCAGTCGTAGTCCTGAACGTACAGTATGAATTTTAAACCCCTAATGGGATGGTACCAGGGGATTTGGGTACTCGGAATGAAATCGTAGAATATAGTCTGTGTGTGTGTGTGTTTATTTTTGTTTTCCAATTTAACGTTTTCCAATCAATACATTAAACGTTAGGGAATATGACTGAAATTGGGGACGCCCCAAATACGGTCTGTCACATGGTCATTGGGAAAAGTCAGTGTGTGGACTGACCATGACGGGTACGCAGTACTTTAGCAGTCACAGGATGTCGCGGTGGATGTGCATTGCAACTTTGCGTGTGCTCCGTGCTACGCAGCATGCCCAAGGTCCTGTTTGTTGCGGTTTTTGAAGAGAAGTTTGATGTGTTTATTATATCGCGTGATTAATATGGGTCTGTGCTGTAGTACATGTATAGTCGTACAACTGGACAACGATCGAAGTTCCTGGTGACTAGCAAGGGAGGGGGAGTAACGGGCACCTGGTCGCCTTGGCGATCAGAATTAAACATAATTTGATCATGTGTTGAAAGTTTGGATTTTAGGGTCACTATAGTAACAGTATTACAATGCATAATTATTTTTCATAATTTCCCTCTGCTTTTATGAATAAAACTTCATCACTTGTGTTGACATTATCAGGAGTCACCTGGAATCAGTCATCACATGTGAAGTTTGGGTTGAAAAGGTGGAACGATTCAATTTTTAGGGTGAAAAAGGTGTAGCCAAATATAGTTTCACCAAAGTACTCAGAGCAAAGTAAGATGGTCCTTTTCCTATACTTAGATATGTAAAAATTAATGATTTACTTAAAATTCTCAGGAATGATCTGAAATCAGTCTCCGATAGTATGCGTCAAGCTAGATTTGGGTGAAAAGATTGAACGGTTCTGTTTTTAACAGTGAAAAAGGTGTTTTTAGGGTTTCGCCATAGTACTGTACAGCTGCACTGATGATTTCCTATCATTTCCCTACACTTGGATGACTAAAAATTGATCACTTGGGTTGAATTTTTCAGGAATGATCTGAAATCAGCCTCCAACATCATAATACGTCGTGTTTGAGGTTAACAGATTGAGCAGTTCTTTTTTAGGCTGAAATAGGTACATGTATATTTAGGGTTTCACCCAAGTACAAAGCAGTT